GAAACTTTTTTTTAATAAAAACTAATGAATAACTTATTTTATAAAATTATTTATATATTTTTACTTGAGATTATATATATATAAATAAAAATAATTACAAAAATAGACAAAAACTAAATATAATAAAATATATTATTATAATTAATCATATAATATTTATTATTAATAAAGCTAATAATAAAATTATTATTTTTTTGTCTTGAGATCTGCAAAGTGTATCATTATACCGGCATTAGTCGTAATAACGTGATATAGCCGAGTGCTGGATATTGGTCGGAAAATCACGTGACCGACACTTTTTTTTGCCGTGGCTGGGGTACTAATTTCTTGCACCATATATTATATCACGTGTAATATCTATCGCGTTTTGCAGAAATTTGGTTGGCTGTCGATCTAAATCACGTGACTAAGAACTTTTGTTGATTTTTCGTCAGGCGCGTTTCTTTAATAGTGAATAAAACACAATAAGAGCTTTCCAATTTATTCTATTGCGTTTTATTTGGAAATGAATCTCAACAGTCAAACTAAAACTAAAACGCAAAGGTATTTACTGTTAATACTATATAGTTATTAGTATATATTTATACATGTTTTATCTTCTTATAGAGCAACCTACACCTCGCGTTTCAAATCCGCAAGCAAGGAAAACTTACCAAAGACACCAGGCAGTGGTGGTCTACTATCAGGTGGAGGGAATACTAAAACCGCTATTCCGGTGTCTACAAACACTTCTAATGCAAAGAAGAGACAAGTCATTAATTCGGGGTTAAAAACACCTATAATCAGTAGCACAGTCTCTTCTCGTATTGGCAGTACTTTAAGAAATCCCTTGAGGTTTTTAATATATTATCTATGTCGAGTCTATTATATATAACAAATTTCAAACTCTTTTTTGTAATTAATTGGTCGATAGTCGTATTTCGTCTGTGTCTACACCGAAGAACACTAGCGCAATTCCTTTGTCAAAGGTAAGGTTGTATATTTTTGTGACGTCGAATGTATCCTCAAAAAATTCTGTATTAAATAAAATTTTATCTTTTTATCCAAAAAAAGCCCACCGTATTATCATCTGCTTTCTCAAAAAGCAAATCTCAGAATCTGTCTGTATCTGGAAATGTTAAATCTAAAAGAGTGACTTTTGCTGTAAATGTTGAACCCAAAAAACCTGCTGCTGGGACTAAATCGTCTCTAATGCCAGCCAAAAAATCAACAATTTCTTCAAGTTTTATAAGACCAAAATCAACAGCCATAAATCTCTTCTCTAATCTACAACCACCTCCTGGAAGTATACGAAAACCAACTTTAAAGAATATTTCTAATACGCCTAATTTGAAACGTCCAATACGTAATACCGCGGCAACGACAACAAAAACATCGAAAAAAGCCGTCATTAACACACCTATCACAAAGAGACCTTCGACGATTTCTTCCTCCACGACGGTGTCACGAAAATCGTCAATTTCTATCGAACCCAAAATTCGTGGTCTGTCAAGTGTTCGCAGATCCCCAGCTAATAAATCACAAATAAAATTTAAGCCAGATGCATCGGCATTGAAAGAAATAGTTGCCAGTGAAACTTCCAGTGATGTTGATAAAAAGAGGCAGTTATTAACATCATCTCTCTTGGGTAATCGATCGAGATCTTCTATCGGAGTTAGGGGTTCTTTAAGACTTTCGCAGGCAACGTCATCTTATGGTCATCGCGTCGAGGTATGTGTTATGCCGCGTGTTCAGCTATATAATCGCCTATTAAGTTATCAATTAATATGTCATATAGGAACACCGTGAATCGCAACGAGTATCAATACTTGGAGCTGCAATTCGAGTAATGCGCCCTATTCAAGAAGAATCACAGAAAAAAGTGAGTAGTAACAATAGCTTTAAGTTTAATTATGTCTTGATTTGTTTCCAGTAGGTACATAAAAATGTCTTTTTTTTAGACATTGTCAAATATCCGAGAATCATTGTTGGTCAAACCAGTTACTTCAACGAGGACTCTTACCGAACGCCAAATAAAATTTAAGCCGGATGCATCAGCATTGAAAGAAATAATTGCGAGTGAAACTTCCAGCGATGTTGATAAAAAAAGACAGCTTTTAACATCATCATCTCTCTTGAATAGTCGATCGAGATCTTCTATCGGAGTTAGAGGTTCTTTAAGACTCTCACAAGCAGCATCATCTTATGGTCATCGCGTCGAGGTATTATATTATATATGTTATGCTACGTGTTCAGCTATATAATCGCCTGTTAAGTTATCCATTAATGTGTCATAACTAGAAGCACCGTGAATCACAACGAGCATCAATACTTGGAGCTGCAATTCGAGTAATGCGCCCTATTCAAGAAGAATCACAGAAAAAAGTGAGTACTAACAATTACTTTAAGTTCAATAATTCCTTGAGTTTGTTTCTAAGTAGGTACATATAAATGTTTTTGTTCCCTAGGCATTGTCAAATATCCGAGAATCATTATCATTGGTCAAACCAGTTACCTCAACAAGGACGCTTACCGGCCGTCAATCATTATTGTTCACTCGAACCATCAAAGGCACGGTTTAATGAAGTCTCGATTATTCTCACCTATCAAATCTAAAAGAAATGAATTCACAGTAAAACATATTTGATCGATTTAAAAGATCAGCTTGTCTTTTATTAAATTATAAGAATATATTAGATTAATACATTTACATTTATGATATATTTTCAAAACAAGCCACAATACAGTCAGTCACAGTTCAAGTAAAAAAAAAATGTTATCTAAAGTTATTGCGTGCATGGTTTACTTAAGATGATGTGAAATTTAATGTCTTTTACAAACATCTATTTAATAGCATATTATATAAATTAATACTGGTCCGCTTCTGGCTCAAAAACTTGGTCAATAAGCAAATAAATATTTTGAGTTCTCTATAGAAGAAGACGCAGTGGATTTTCGATATAACTCCTCCATGCTTTCAACCATTGTGCACCAACAGCGCCATCAACTACTCGGTGATCACATGAAAGTGTTACGTGCATTGTATTTGCCACTCTGTAGCCCGTGGTTTGGTTCTCATCAGGAACTAATTTCTTTGTTGTGCTTCCAACAGCAAGAATACATGATTGTGGAGGATTGATAATGGCAGTGAATGACTTTATGCCATACATCCCCAAGTTAGAGATTGAAAATGATCCTCCCTTTTATAACATTTGAGGGTGTTAATGATAAATTTATTTAAAGAGACAATTAAATTGAAGATCATTATATACCTGAAATTCATGTGGTGCTAATTTTCCTTCGCGTGCTCTACCGGCCAATTCTTTAACCTGATTCGATATAAAAGCTAATCCTTTTGTTTCTGCTTTTGTTATAATTGGAGTTATTAGACCAGTAGGGGTAGCTGTCGCAATAGAGATATCTGAATTATGATGTCTTTGAATCATTTGTGATTAGTCATATTTTTTTTCCTTCTACAGTAAGTAAAATTTAGTTTAATAATGCGTCGAAATAGATTACTTACTGTCTTATAAATTCACCATGCCATGCACTATTCACTTCTGGCACATTTTTAAGAGCCAATGCAGATGCCTTTATTATAAAATCATTGACAGATAATTTATAACTGCCATCACTGTCTTTGTTCAACACCTCTCGAAGTTTCAACACTTTATCCATTTCGACCTCAATTGTTAAATAATAATGAGGGACTGTCTGTTTTGATTCGGTTAGACGAGCTGCAATAACTCTGCGTATATTAGATAATGGGATGTCAGTGTATTCGACTCCAGGTTGAGGTGTTGCGGGTGAAGGAGGTGTGGTGGCGACAAAACTCTCAACATCCGCTTTAATGATACGGTCGTTTGGTCCAGTTCCAGTGATTTGATCGAGTGGGATTCCACGCTCTTCCGCTAATTTACGCGCTAGTGGACTGGCAAATATTCTATCAGAGGAAGAGGGAGTAGTAGATGACTGTGTAGTTGTCGTTGAGGACGCTTTTGATTCCGGCGTTTTTTGAGGTTCAGGTGGTTGCTCTTTAGGTTCTTTCTTTGGTGAAGGCGGAGCTAAATCAGTACCTTCAACTGTATAATCTGCAAATTTGTCGACATCCTCTTGTCCTTCTACTAATACTGCAATCGGCTGAAAATAATTTACCATATATATAATAAGCACATCACCGAAACAGAAAAATCACCACTAAGAAACCCTCACCAACTTTTTAGACATTAATTTTTACCTGGCCAACTTTAACTTCCTTTGTTCCACTTTCTACAAGTATTTTAGCAAGGTATCCCTCTTCCTGGCACTCGAAATCCATCTGCGCTTTATCAGTTTCGATCTCAACCAACACATCACCGGGCGATACCTGATCACCGATTTTCTTTTGCCATGTTCCCACATTTCCCATTGTCATTGTAGGTGATAACGCCGGCATTGTAATGTCAATATGTGGCGGATAAGAAGCTGCGGAAATAGAAATTTATCATTATTCCCTATTTACGCGTTCATTCATTTTCAACATTAGAGTAACAGAGTAATAGAAATTCTTTTTCTCTCCCAGGTATGATGATCATCGAGATATGAATTGAGATGAATACTACTGCTGCCGACATATAAAATCCGAATAAATGCTAAAATAATTTTTCTTCGTTCTCTAATTTACTTTAAATCCTCGAAAAAAAATAATTTATTTGGAAACCAAAAAATATCGTACATGCGTAATAGCGACGACCAACATATTTTTTTATATAGGTATTTTGAGCGCCACCTCCGCCACCAAAAATCCATATAGAACGTGTCCTGGGCAAACTAAAAGTATATTTAACATATGTGGGAATGAATGGAAAAGAGCCTGAAGTGAACTAAAACGAAATACCAGCAAGTAGACACATTTTTCTTTATAGAGGGTAAAAGAAATCTCGTGGCGGTTGAGACTAGTAAAGGGTCAAGTACAACGCGACTAACCCTTTCTCTTGAGAATTTAGGTAATAGCGTCCGTGTAGAATTCCTCAGACCAAGCATAATATATATTATAACATTCAAAGTAAAAATTCTTGACAAGTGCGATCTAACGTTAAGGATCAATTTCACGTGTGCTAATTTGAACAGTAATAACAGTATAATAACAGTGATAGCATATACGATGAAGTCATTATTGATAAAATTAGTATTCCTGGTTGATAATCAAAAATCAACCAAAAGCTGATTTTTCAGCTTAGCCGGTTGGTTTTGAAATAATCGACTAGTCGATTTTTAATAGGAGATATGGTGTAATAAGAGACGCGATGGGATAAAATATTAATTAAACATATTAATATTTAAATGACTCAACTTTCGTTATTATAATAATTCAATTGGTGTATTTTCACCAAACATTACTGAAGTTGAACAACAAAACGATGAAACACATACATTATCAATTAACACATGACGCGTATCTAGAACCATCTTTACTAATTAAATAACTCTCACGACGTGTATTTAGAATCCTCTTCATCTTAACTGACTTGCATATTTCAGCTCAAGATATTATTACGCAAACTCTAGGATCAGTACAACGAAATAAACAAAAATCCGATAATGTATTAAACACCAATAAACCAGAAAACTGGCTGTGGAATTATATAAGAAAGATCAACTTTAGTAAAAAATTAAATATTGTGTCTGAATTAATATCAATAATAATCATAAGCAATATACATGACTTTTTGAACTAAATAATAAATATAATCTCAACCAGCCTGACTAATTAATTTTAGAAGAATTAGTCAAATGTAAAATACTATTATTAATAAAAACAAAATTGAATTATCTCTTATATATTATGAATAGCTAATAATATGCAATCTTTTAGTATCTTGAAAAGCAAATAATTTCAAGATATTTTTTATAAAGCTGTTAAAGCTATTTCATGATTTATTTTCCTAATAAAAATATATTTAAATAGAAATAATACTTTAAAATCTTTTATATTTATGAATTAAAGTATATAAATAATATATTAAAATTATTATACATTAACTTATTTTCAAATTTGAAGCTTTACTTATAATTAAGAGCTTTTCATATTTATATATATTCAAATATATTAAAGATTTTTTTTACATAAGAAACTAGTTAAATGAGAATTAAATAATAAATATTTAGCAAGTATAATAAATAATTTTAGTTTAATAATAAAAATAACTAGAAAGTTTAAAGTCTTATATATTGTTTATATTATTTTGATATTATTAATAACTTGAAAATATCAACTAATTTAATTTATTGAGAATTATAATCTGAAATAGCTAAAGTCAAAATTCATTAATTAAAGATAAAAGTATAATAATATTAAATTCAATATCAAATAATACTGTGATTTGATAAAATTAATTTTTTATTAAGCTGGCTACTTGATCTTTATTATGATATCAAACAAATAGAAAAATTGCGCCTTAATAATAATGATTTATTAGAAATTCAAAAATTGATTGACTTGTTAAGTTCTTTTATTTTTATACATGTCATAACTATAATGAATAAAGATCATTATTCTACTTTCTTAATAATGTTACCATTAATTAAAATCTTACAAGAACACTTATTTCGAAGAGAACATACTCTTACCCATCCAATTATTCATAATGAGTATAATAAAATCGAGCTATCATTTGACATGTCTAAGATGATAAAATATGATCTTTCTGATCCTAGAAGATGGAGGTTTCACGATCCAAAACATACGAGCCGTCTTGCAAAGTCTTACCTCGAATCGAATGTCCCCGAGTTTAGTAAAATCAATGAAACGAAGATGTATGCTAGTAATAGAGATACTATCGATTATTAAATTTTTTTTAACAAAATACATGTATTTTTATTATAATCGGTTTGGTGATTTTTCCACACTGTAGAATATTAAAAGCAAAAGCCCAATTTCCTAGACTGGCTGGTCATGGGATTTAAGGGATTTTTAATCAATTTTCATTTATCGTTAGCGTTAGCGTTAGCGTTAGAAACGGATAAACCATAAATGAGTTTTTATACATCATTTTCTGAGTCACATTATGTTAATCAAGATTATCTGACATGACATATCAGCGTTAAAAAAATAATATATATAAGCAGAAAATAAAAAAAATTCAATTAACCTCAAAAATGAGTAGTGCAGAATTTCTAGCTCAAGAACAAGCAGCTTTTGATTATGAAGTCAAAGAAGTTGAAAGATGGTGGCAATCCCCTCGTTTCGCTAAAGTAAAGCGACCATACACCGCCGAACAAATAGTATCAAAACGCGGCACCATAAAACAACAATACGCCTCCGACACCCAGGCAAAAAAATTATGGAAACTCTTTGAGCGTCACCACAAGAACAAAACCGCATCACATACTTTTGGCGCGTTAGACCCTGTCCAGGTGGTACAAATGGCGAAGTATCTCGAGACTGTTTACGTGTCTGGTTGGCAGTGTTCATCGACCGCTTCCACGTCTAATGAACCTGGTCCAGACCTCGCGGACTATCCGATGGATACGGTTCCAAATAAAGTGGAGCATTTGTTTATGGCCCAGCAGTTTCATGATCGTAAGCAGCGTGAAGCTAGGTTTAGTGTTGATAAAGCGACTCGTGCTAAACTTCCATTTGTTGATTACCTGAGACCGATTATTGCGGACGCGGATACTGGACATGGTGGTATTACCGCTATTTTGAAGTTGACTAAAATGTTTGTAGAACGTGGTGCTGCCGGAAGTAAGTCTTTTATTTTGGTCTAGGATAAGTTTTAAATTTGGGCGCCTCTAATTTATATGCTCTATGCTATACTTTAGTCCATATTGAAGATCAGGCACCAGGTAAAGCAAATAAATTATCTCTTTATTAGATACAATATTCAAAGTAACTAATCAATGAATTTTGAATTTCCATTAGGTACCAAAAAATGCGGTCACATGGCCGGAAAAGTACTAGTTCCAATCTCGGAACACATTAATCGTATAATCGCTATTCGCGTGCAACTTGACATAATGGGAGTTGAGAACTTGGTAGTTGCACGAACAGATTCCGAAGCAGCTACGCTAATCACTTCAAATATCGACTACCGTGATCACTCATTCATTATCGGTGCAACAAACCCCAACCTTCGTTCATTAGTAGAAGTATTGGATAAGGCACAAGCAGAAGGAAAGTATGGCTCGGAACTAGAAGCGATTGAAAATAAATGGATGCAAGATGCCGGACTGAAACTCTATAGTGACGCAATTGCTGATCTAATAAAGGCATCGAATACACCTAATAAGAATGATCTTTTGAGACAATGGAATGAAAAAGTTTTTGAGGTATCGCACGATGAAGCCGAAGCGTTTGCTAAGTCTCTTGGATTTGAGACCTTTTGGGATTGGAATTTACCGCGTACTCGTGAGGGTTACTATCGTTATCAGGGCGGTACCAAATGTAGTATTAAGCGTTGTGTTGCTTTTGCACCATATTGCGATTTGTTGTGGATGGAAACAAAGAGTCCAATCTACGCTCAGGCTAAAGAATTTGCAGAGGGTAAATTAATTATTTCTCTATTATCTGCTTTGTTAAAATTTTAATATTCATTTCTTTTTTTTTGAACTTAGGTGTATTAAGCAAGCATCCTGACGCATGGTTGGCGTACAACTTGTCGCCTAGTTTCAATTGGGATGCAGGTAATTAACAGATATTTTCGTTGCTTAGGTTATTTAATCAGTTTCATGCATAATCAACTAACGAATCTTAATGTATTTCTTTTTATAAAGCTGGCTTGAAAGATCAACAAATGCGCAGTTTTGTCGATGATTTGGGTAAACTCGGCTTCCTATGGCAATTCATCACGCTTGGTGGTCTTCATGCTAATGCCTTGGGTGTAGGCAAGTATTATTATACCAATTAAGCTACTCTTAATAAAATATAGACTTAAAGCTATATATGATTTATTAAACAACTTCTCGTGATTAGACGTATTTGCGCGTAACTTTGCAAAAGATGGTATGTTAGCGTATGTAAGCCGCGTTCAACGTCAAGAACGTGAAAATGGCGTCGAAGTGTTGCATCATCAAACTTGGTCCGGCGCCAATTACTATGACTCCTTAAGTAAGTTTTGATCAATATTCAATAATAGTTGTTATTAATGAGTATATATATATGTTCGTTTATTAATTATTTTCTTTCTGCTATACGAAATAGTCAAACTTGTACAAGGTGGAATTGCCTCGACAGCTGCGATGGGTAAAGGAGTAACGGAAGATCAGTTCAAAAATTGAGCGTTATCCGTAATTTCTAAATGTTTGTTATTTCCTGTTGACTTTTCATTTTTGATGATCAATTAGAAAGAAAATAATTTAAATAATAAAACAATATTTGAAAGAAAATCTTTTTCAACTTGATTTCTTATATATTTGCGCTTCAACATCGTATTCTCATATAATCCACGAAGTAATCCACGTAACCCACCCAATACCCACATCTAACACGCGTCTCTTTAAAATATAAAGAACCACCAGAATAAAAACAAACAATCCAAACAGAATTAATAGTCGATCCGTCCAATCGCTTTGTTCTAATTTTGTGATTAATTGCTTTGAACCACGTACAACCGCGGAGAATCCTCGGAATTCATTGTAGGTACTTTTTAGTGTCCTCGATGAATCCTCTATGTTATAATATTTAGATTATATATCTATAGAATAATAATAGTAGAAAATAAAAGAAAAATTAGTTACCTAATGATTTTGCAGAATAAGCGCTTCTTTCGATTTCTTGTTGCATTAATTGTACTGTGCGTTGTAACGTTTTTGTTACATCTTCAGTAGCACGTAATATTGAATCATCCGATCTTCAAAGGACAAAATAACAGAAATTAATAATGCATCTTAAATTTTCATTTATCACGCTTATATTTAATTAATATAATACACACGCGAGGTTTCTACGTCGCATTTCATACGCTTCTCCTTTTCTCCCCTCGCCAAGTGCAAACAATTGTAGTTTTGCCTCTCTTTCAATGTTTTGTTTCGAGGTTAAAATCGCTCGACGCAAAGATGCTTGAAGTCTGTTGTATATACATTGAATTAATAAAAACTCTTATTAACTAATGACTGATTGACAGACAGAGGGATTCAATGAATTCAAGGAAAAAATAGCTCTATTTAAATATGAAAAGACAAACCCAACTGTTTATATTGATCTTCATTTCTTCGTAAACGCTGCAAAATCGCTTGACAGTCTTTATCGCGATCCTGTTCTTCTGCAAGTTGTTTCATATCCTACTTATGAAAAGAGGAAATTATCTTCATAAGAAAAAAAATATAAGAACATCCCATAACAAAAATTAAAACAATTAGAGCAATTAACTATCATTACCTCGATAAGTTTCCCCAAACTTTTGACACCCCCACGAATCAAGCTAGATGCTTCTTGTTGTTCTGATAACTCTGTGACATTTGTTAATTTTGTGATACTTGCCTCTAGATCCAGCTGAAGTCTATTGATTGTTTCAAAGTGTCGAAGAATTTCCGGTGAGAGTGTAGTCATTTTGTAGGGGTAGGTTACATTTGGAGATTAAACTTTTTAATATCGCCGATCATGTCGATTATAATATTACCAGGAATGTCACCTTTAAAGATCTATGTGATTATTTTACTTTAAACTTCATACCTAATCTTGCCTAGATATTTTAAACAAATATGCGAATTGCCATAACTACTGAAACGGGTGAACTTCACAATGTTGAAGTTGATTCGCAAATCGAGTTGGAAAACGTCAAGGCTCTGATAGAAGCAGAGGTATGCCAAATTCTCTACTCACCAGCCTCTTTTAAGTTAATGAGTTTGTTCTAATTAAACTTCCTTTAAAAATATTTTTAGACAGGCATCTCAACCTCTGATCAGATACTTCTTTATAACGGCAAAGAGTTACCAGACCAAAAGAAAACATTGGAACAATATGGCGTGATTCAGGATAGCGTTCTGCTACTCAAAAGGAAATTTCCGGCTAATTCTACATCCGATGGTGGTGGTGTTCAGTAAGACGATTATTTCTTTGGATCAAAAAAATAATGTAATGTTGAGAAATTCTAATATTAATGATAGCATTGATCATATTCTAGTGGTGCGCCTGATGTTGAACAGATGCGGCGACTTATCTTGGAGAGACCTGATCTCTGGAGACAATTATCTCAAGTATAATATTTATTATTTAGACTCTTATTTATTACTTAAAAATCTTAATTTATTGATTATCATATAAAATACGCAAAATTAGGCACAACCTGACCTCGCAAATGCCGCTTTAAATGATCCCGATAGGTTCGCCGTTTTAATCAGGCAGATGGAGCAACGTCGAAAAGAAGCAGAGCAACTAATGGTAATCATTTGGATTAATCATATAATCAGTCAATCGTATTACTGTTAATAGGAAAACCTAATCTTACCATACAAAAAAATAGAATTTGCAGAACGCAGATCCTTTTGACATTGAAGCACAACGAAGGATCGAAGAAGAGATAAGACGAGCTAATGTCATGGCAAATTTGCAAACCGCATTAGAATACACGCCGGAAGCTTTTGGAAGAGTAAGCGTTATTTATAATAAATCAACATAGATATATCTCTCGCGCGCGGTGACCTCCTTGATAATTAATTCATTGTCATAATTTAGGTCACCATGCTGTATATTAATGTTGAAGTGAATGGCCGCCCAGTAAAAGCATTTGTCGATTCTGGCGCGCAGGCAACAATTAGTATGTAAGCTCTTGTTGAATTCAATACGTTATTTCTATCGGATCTATTATATTACTCCCTGGCTACTTAATTTAACTGAATGATATAACATTCGATTGTAGTGAGTCCATCATGCGCGGAAGCGTGCGGGTAATTTAAATTTGTTTTTATTTTTTTCTTTTACTTAAGTTTAATCGATAGACCAGTAACAATAGACTACTAGTATCTAAACTCTGGATCTCACAATTACGACTGATTGATTAAATACAGGATTATGAGACTGGTAGACACACAATTTGCCGGTGTCGCGAAAGGAGTTGGCACAGCAAAGATTATTGGGCGTGTGCACAGCGCACAAATTCGTGTGGGCACTGATTTATTTTTGGCTTGTTCTTTTACGATAATGGAGGTTGGTTTGATTTTATTGATTGTATTTTTATTATTAGATGTGGATTCATGCGGTATTTTATCATTATTAGGGACGAGGTGTGGAATTGTTGTTTGGACTGGACATGTTAAAACGTCATCAAGTTCGTCTTTATTTTTTTTTAATTCATTGGATTTATTAGTGTTTCCACTAATCTGTGATTTCAAATTCATAAAAAGGCTTGCATCGACCTGAAGAGAAACGTGTTAATTATCAATGAAAAAGAAGTACCATTTTTACCCGAGCACGAGTTACCAGAAAGTGCACGAATGGATGAAATCGCCGACGAAACTATACCATTAATCGAGGCGTCAACTAGCACTAGTACCGCCACCTCCACCACGACTACTGCTTCTACAAGTAATGGTGTTAACACTAGCAATACCCAAACAAACTCGAATACAACGGTAACATCAAGTAGTACGTCAATACCAATTAGTGGTTCTTCTGTTCCGTTATCGTCTGCTACTGCGGGAACAAGTAGGATAAAAAAAATTTCATTTGCTCTTTTTTGCTTATATACATTTATGTACCTGGTTTATTGATTATTGATTCTTTGAAATCCAAAAAAAATTGTAAATATAGCACAATCAAAATATCCTGAAACAGATATTCTGAAATTGGTCTCGTTGGGAATACCTCGTGAACAAGCTATCCAACTTTTAGATCTAGCAGGAGGTAATCCGGACTTGGCTGCGAGTTTTCTTTTCAACGAGTAATGAAACTGCGTCTGAACACTTTTAATATAGAAAGTTTATACACTGATCGACGGATGAGATAAAAACAAACAATTAATGTTTGCTATATAAAAAAGGAAGTTTGTGATATCAATAGCCTTATTTATTTATTTATTTATTTAAAAGTACATGAAGGTATTATTACAAGTAAAATAAAACCATGAAAACACTATTATCTTAATTATATTTTTATGACGGCGACGAAGAAATTTTGTTAATCCGTCTTTCCTCCTCATTAACCATATTTTTCCATTCCTGGAATCCATCTGGATCTTTGCTCGTATTCACGCTAAACGCTGCGGCGGCCAACACAACGATAATTGTGACGCCTTGTGCGTACATACGCGCCTGAACCATTTTTTGAGCGGTGGTTAAATATCTACATACCAAATTTTTTTTAGCAATTCCATAGTTAATAATTTGGTTACAAGTAACGCAATTTGACGAAAGACAAACAGGAAGACAAACAAATAGAAGCATACTGATTTCGATACAGCGAAGCCATTGAACCAGCCATTGCCAATCCCCAAGTTCCAACAACAATAGGCCACTTGTGCTCACTAAACCATATTTTCATCGTGTCTTTACGCGATATGGTAACATAGTTCTCGTTGCGTGTTTTGTTTTCTTTGTATTCGCCGTATTTTTTTCGTTCAAAGTCGAGTGAAGCTTTTTCAGTAGCAATTATGAATACAGCGGTTGCGACTATAATAATAATAATTCGACAATTACTTTGTGGTTAAGTCAAAAGTAATAGCAAAAGTAAAAGAGAAGCGAAAGAACTCACGTGAGCTAACGAGAAAAGCTTTCAGTTGAAGAGTGGACGAGCGATAAAGCGGCCAGTATTTTTGTCCAATAAATGATAGACCGATCCCAGCGCCTAACCCAACAAGACCTTTTTGTAGTCCTTGGCGAATAATGTAATCGTAATGCTCTATTTTTTGCAAACTGCATTAGTTTTATTAGATTTTACTTGTGATTCACTTAAACACTGATACCTTTTTCTTCTTCTTTGGTGAGGATCTTCATTTTTTTCTTTTGAGTAAATCGACTCTTTTTAAAGATCAACAGTTGTATACGAAATTTTTAGCTGGTTAAATAGACAAAACACGCGCATGTATTATTAGTCATGGTTCCGTATTTTCGCGAAATAAATCGCGCGTTATTTTTCACATGTATTATGACGCAATGCTCTATTTTGTGAGTCAATATGATTTATTTATACGGTATGCACCACTTACATTGCTAATTATTAATCACAAAAAATCATGATAATAAAAAATATCTCCAATTTGTATATTTTTTTAGACTTTTCTAAGAAAATGGTGCAACTCACATTAGAAAAATGTGCTCAAGCAATTGTATTGCTTGATGAAGATTATAGTGCTCATAAAATTATTCATCACTTCAATATTCATCATTGTGACTTAAAAAAAAAGCTAAGGAAACTAATAATATCCCAAATAAATCTCAAACTAATTATTTCCAAAAACTTATTATATATAATAAATAAATTCTTATTTATCAAATTATAATAGATGAATGTTCTAAATAACCGTTCAACTTTAAAAATTCCTATTAATTAATGAAGAACTTGATATAAATATAAGTATAATATGTAAAGAATTGCATAATAATGATTTGATAACATAGATAAAGTGAAAAAAGTCATATTTATCAGATATATATTATCAAAAATAACTTGACTTTTATAAAAATTGAAAACTTAATAAAGTTATATAATCTAATGAATCAAAATTTAGATCTGATAAATGTTAATATTATTGAAAAAGATAAAATAATTTATTAAAAAGCTTACATATTCAATCTATAATGAAGTTTAATGATGATAATATAATAATATAAAAATATTTTAATATTTAGAATACTAATTATCTTTGTAAAATTATTAAAATAATGAATGATGAATATTATTAGCAAATTCTTTTCAAATAAATTATTTTTCTTTTTAGATTTATATAATTTAAAGCTAAATGATATTATTTTTTAATAGAATAATGATCTTAAATATGTTATAAATAAAATAATAAAATGATTCACTAATAATCATGTGACTATATTAAATATCCAATTTTAATTTATTAATATTTACAGACAAATTTACTTTCTTTTTACAATCATCAGCAAGTTTGATAGTTATAGAATTCATTAGCCGTAATTGATTTAAGCTAGCTATCATAATCATCTGATCTAAATTCTATTGAAAATCTCTGGCAAAAAGTGAATTTTTATCTTCATGAACTTCTGGATATAATTACCAATAAGAATGATTTATGAAAAAAGATAGCAGAGACATGAAATAATATTGAAATTGATTATTGTATTACTTTGATTAATACAATGTCATAATGAATTAATGATGTAATTAAAGTATAGATGGTTATACAAGATGATGTTTTGTAATATCAGGTCATTTTTAACAATCTATAAACCGATATTATCCATTACTTATTGGATCATTTGTAATTGAGAATTGCATGATTAAAGATCGACAATGCAAGTGGTGCATGTCATTGCTTCACTTAATTCTGTCCCGATCCGAATCATATTTTCTTTCTATAATAGCAGGGTGGCTATACATACAGTAGTGCTACCTGGCGCCTATACTCATTTTAAAGCCAATAACCTAAAGGATGAATAAAAAATATGTTAATGTTGTCATTCTAAAAAAATTAAGTGATCTACATGAATATGTTTAATTAGTGGGAATTT